AATATTTAATTGAGTTAAATTGTTAGAATTCATATCAATATCGAACGTATAAATCGATATTTTTAAAATAATGTTTATACATTTGCTTTTAAAGTTAGCGCTACCGAGAACATTATGTGATGCTCAAATATCTTAAGTCGAAAGTGAAATTTTGAATAAAAAAAATGTGTGTAACCTATTACACAGCATATAAGTATATTTTACCCGTTTAAGTCAATGCGTGAAATTATGAAATCGTAGCATTGAATTCTATAACATTTTAATAAATTTTTTTGTTCATCAAACTTGATCCGTCGCCCCGGAGTAGTTATAATGCACACCAAGAAAACATCTACTTTCGTGGTTTTTTTGTTGTTGTTTTGAAATCAGTCTAAAATGAAAAAAAAAATTAATTAACAAATAAGATAACCTATTGTAGCCTAAATACATGCATTGAAATCATTGCTAAATGACCATGTTTAATTTATACGATATTCTCGAAGCACGCGCCTTATGTCATTTAATCGTGTTAACATTCAGAGGACAATCTAAGGGAGCATTCCGGTTTTCGTCGAGTTATACGTTTGTTTATCTGTATCACGTTAAATATTTGTATCGTATCAACGAACCCGTTCCAATCGCGTATTATTGCTACTTACACCGCCCACTCGACGTAAAACGGGAACGCTCTTGCACACCGTTTACCGTTCGGCTATTTTTATATGGATTGGCGTAAGTCGACTAATTGCACCTACAATAGAAACTTGCCCAACTCACAAATCATTATTATTATCACCCACTCAATCTGATTTGTAAACAACAATTATGAAATATTTGTAAGCCGTATAAGTTATTATATATATATATTTTTTTCACTAATCGTATTATACGTGTATGTGCGCAGCGAAATATTTCAACGCGGCCATCGGATAGGTGCCCATAAATAATGATCGCGGTCGAATAAAATAACGCAGTGTTACACGCACGCGGTGTTTTATATTTGTAGCGGATTCGTTATAAAAACAAATTTCCGAACATTTCGATGCCCGCAAATTCGAACACACAAGATCAGGAGTAATTATTATTTAAAATTGTTTTAGTTTAGATGAGCTTGGAGTACCTCAAAATGTTTCGGTGTGCTAAATATTTCAACATTAAATATTCTATGTGATCGACTACTGGTTCTAAAAATATCGATTTTTTCGAAGAAAAATTTCCCAAAAAAAAGTATTCTGCTTCGAAATGTATATTATCAGTTACTATGACGAAAGGTAATAACGCACACAATTATTATGGTAGAGAGTAGTTAAAAATTGTAGCTTGATAAAATTATACTTGTAGTATACAAGTAATAATATAAATATCATAACAAAGTTTTTGAAAAAATCCTAAATTAATCGAAAAAATAAGATTTACACTTTAAAGTGATAAAAAAACCATCCAGAGCAAAAAATAAAAATAAAATAATTAATTTTTAAATCACAAACCACAATATTAATATTGATTTATATCATGTTCATATTTGTAGTGTTACATCCTTACATTATTATTATGAATGTACTCGTTTAGCTAATATTATACATTTTATTCATATTACACGTACTGTACAAGTAGTACTTGAAAGTTATAGCAATAATAATATTGTTAATAATAAAGCATCTAGGTAACTAATAACAATTTTGTAAAGGTTTTAAGTTTTTTGTTTACAAAACTACTTACAATTAATTTTAAATATTAAAACGAAAATCAAAACAAATAAAAATGAAATCGATACATAACACAAATCTACATTTAACGGTCGTTTAACGCCTATCACCATAAATTATTCAAACAGTATATGTACCGAGAGTGAAAATAAAATCAAAACCGGACACTGTATATAAATGCATACATTATTATTATTAATATTATTGTATTAACTGGTCGATCATTTTTCAAGACCATCAAATAATGTAATTGGTTCAGGCGATAAAAGGTGTCCGCATGAGGTCTTCGTTTATTAAGATTCAATGATAGAGCATGTCTCCCGAACAATAGCATCTCAAACAAAATTAATATTCATAATAATAATAATGGTTGCAATTACAGAATGTTTATTACATGTGATTATTTATTACGGTTGCATACACCTGACATTCAATTTTAGCAGCTCAAGTTGTGTTTGTGTGTATTGTGCACGTGGAATTTGTTTCAATTAGTTATGGCACCATAACATTTCTATAAAAAAAAAAAAAAATTAAAAACAAAAAGTTTTAAACGTTCGAGGAAACAATGCAGTAGACTTACCAATACATATTTATTTAAAATAAATATTGAGTGAGAAATAATGAATACGTCATCATTATTAAATATTTGGGAAATAACTTTAAAAGTATTTAAATGTTCAACATATAAAAACTTTAGACTATAGCGAATAGAATATTATTTGTCTACGAGTACTTATGGTACACTCGATTGGATAGATTTGGATTATAAAATAATATTTGAAGGATACACCTAACGTATCTAAAAATCTAAAAAAAAAAACATATAACTTCTATTAAAAATACATAAAACTCAATAACGTGTGACTCTAAGATAAAAAAGGGGACAATTGTTATGATACACAATTTATTTAATAACCTTATTTGTTTTAATGAAACTACCAGTGTTTACATTTAATCACCCAAAATTGTTTACTTTATTCCTGCTTATCGGGTTTATATTCAAGTTGATTAATTTCACTGATTAATAATTTGTCGGAAATCATTAAGCATAACGTTGATTATAAACTAGGTATTATTTTAAATATTCTATAACATTAAAACCATAACTATTAGGTATGTAGGTATGAGGATATCATCTAAGCGACTATAACATTATATTATGTTAATTTATATCACCATTAAATTCAAACTATGGTGCAACAATTTATTTTCCATCATTATATGAATTATTCTAATTTTGATCATGTAAATACGTTATCATTATTGTTGAGCGATTGCGACAATTTTAATACAAGTACATGGTATAAAACTAATTGCTCCAATTAAAAATGCATACCATCTTTAGGTTGTTATTCTCTTTAAGTTAAATCATTTTGTGTCTTATTCATCGTTGCATATAACAATTTTTTAATGACGCAGGTATATCGTTAAAATATTATACAACTAATAATAGTAAGTACATTTTAAGTATTACAATCAATCATTTGTCACTAGTCGGCTATAAAATAATTTTCTCTTTAAACTTTGATGTTCATGTATTTATTAGAAATTTGACAGTACTCACCTTTCTATGACCCTATAGAATCTCTTGTTGTGATGTGAATTTTTCATCTAGTATTAAATGCAAATATTTTGATTATAATTAATGAACAATATCATTTTATCATGTTCAGTTATTTTATCGTAGTAATGAAACTATACTTAAACGAAAAGACATTAGTTATAATAAAAACGTCAAATTCAGTTTTAATTTTTGAAATATTAACACAAATGCTTTCTATTTATGACTAACTATACGATTTAACGGAATTTAAAACTAGAGGTACTTAAAGAAGATATTAAAAATTATTTTATAAAACTAATTTTATTATATTAATTGTTCTTTTTTTATGTTAAACCATTCATTATTTCATTGTGGAGTTAATACTGGATATATTTTATATAATACTTCAAATTGGTGATACAATATAACTTTTAACAATGATTCGTTTAATATTTGTATACATATACTTTTATCATCAATCAAGACAACATCATTTTTTAATAATATCGTTATTAGTATGAATTATATTAAAATATAATACTGTACTAACTTATTCTTAGTGTTGCACTGTATAGTGTACAAAGTGGCATAATGACATTGAAATCCCATTTTGGAATTTCCTTTATATTAAGAATATGCCCATCTACATATTAAAACCGTCGATAAGCATTACACAATATAAATCTAATTGGACGTACCATTTATATGATAAAGTCATGAGTTGATTCTCTAATAAGCCGTATGACTGTCGGAACAATGAAATTTGTAGACACCATTTATAGATTATTTGACATATTTTCGAAGAATAAAAGGAATCACAATTCGAATTTTTATTAAAAATTAAAAAAAATTTGTAGGACAAAATAATTTAAAACTCATAACGGTACCAGAAGAATTTGTGGGTTGTTAATGTTGTTATCACAAGACTGAATCCAATTGTTTGCATTTAGCATATTATAATATTGCGAAAGAACATGTGATTTTCTAATTTAATTTAAGTTAATTATAGACCATGTCCTTGCAGAACACTGAACAAAGTGATTACACTTATAACCTATTATTAAAGTCTTTGGAAAACATTTTTATTTTTCAATATCGCGGTTTTTAAAAAAAATTACTGAAATTCTGAAAGTGATGACATTGTTTTATAAAAGAGCTCGATTAGAGGATGAACATTTTTACAAAGTATTCAAATTCACATACGCATTGCATTAGATTTGAAATCATATTGATTTTGCATTGATCGAAGTAAAAATTTCCGTCTGCGATAAAAATCGTGTTGGTCTATTTGATATCGGTAAATAACAGTTTATCGTTTGGAACAATCGAATCGAGTACGATTCACATAATATTAATTGCATACATATTGTAGTGTAAAATATAATTTGTTTTCATTTATTCCGCTGCGTGTCGCTAAGTGCAAGCGTAATAGCTGTATGAAATATACTTGGTTGAAAATCTCCTGTTACAACAAAAACAATAATACCTATTACACGGCGGTATAGTTAGTCATTGATTCCGTGAAAATCTAAAATGTGAAATTATTTCAAATCTAACGAAGTTTCGGACGAGATGCATAATAAAATGAAAAATATGTATTCTCGTCGTGCAGGCCGACCAGAATTACGCAACCGAACAACCGTCAACCAAACACATTCACACACACACACACACACACACATACACACACACCACGTACACACGCCATGCACACGCACACGTAGACGCCAAGCACCTCCTCTTCGAACGGAGACTACGACTGCGGCGGCACATCGAAAGTGACCGTCGGTTCACTCTCACTATCGTTGTTGTGCTCCCAAGTCGTACGCACACGTGCATCAGACACCTCTCTCGCATCCGATAAAAATTATTGTATTATTATCAACGCACCCGACACCGTGCGTACAACATTAAACAGTAAAATTAATTCAAAACTATCGGTTTTCCGTAATTTTTTTTTCTTCTTCGTAATCCTTCACCGGCCAACACCCATACACGCACGACGTCTCCAATGGAAATCGTTAAGATCGCGGTGCTCCTGTGCACTACTATTCTCAGTGCATCCGGATCCACGGTAAGTTCACCATTAAGGTTTTACCGCATTTTAATATTATAGCTTACCATAGAGTTGATGTTGTTTCTATCCATTACCCGCGGATTTTACGTGACCATGTAATAGTATGTAAGACATAACCGTCGCGATCGAATAATGTACCGACAGTAAAATGTTTTAATTCTTAGGCGATGGGTTCGTATTATGCGAAGACGTATCATAATTATATGCGTTTTTTATATGAACGTAAAAATCTCTTACCACGAAAGAATTTTAATCGTAAACTGGTGTTATAAATTTATAAAAACTGGAAGTGAAAATGGCTTTAAGTATCATTGACAATAAAAATAGATTGCTCACAGTCTATAGTAAAATATAAACGCGGGACAAATAACAATAAATGTACGGTGAATATTTCATTTATACTATTTATTAAATATTTTTTATAAAATTTAAAACAAAAGAGTTAAAATTTTGTCAATTTTTAGTTAGTTGTGTCAATCGTTATTTGATCGTGTATTTCCAAAACCATTACCTACGATATTCTATTTTACCTTATGATGAATCAAAACATTGATTTAAAGAAAAAATGCGTGCACAATTATTTTATTTCAGTCTACTTGTGGCGTAGGTCGTGGTCCTCGAGAGCAGTGTTGGAAAAGAAATATTCAACAGACTTTATTCTCTTATAAATACGCAGCAACCGTAACACTATATATCCTTTACGTTTGTTACGCATATAATAGCGCTCATTTGTTTCTTGCATAAGATTAAACTCGAAAAAAATGTACTTAAAGCTCGTGGAAAAGCACCCGGGGGTGTTAGCGCGTACGTGCGTGTGCGCGTGCGCGCGTTATTTTTTATTTTTATAGAAAATTTAAACAAGCTAGGCCCAATATATACAAGGAAGACAAGATCGTGTTGGTTTACAGAGTATAGTTTACATGTGTTTGCTTATGGTAATACAATATGAATTGGTAGAACAGAATAAATTTACATTACGTACAAATAATAATTAAACAATATTTACATTATTTTTAAGATATACATTAAAAGTGATAATATTATTATAAATGAACAAATCAACGTTAAACTTGTTTATGTCATGTATATGTTATGTCGGTCAAACGGACACACACAAACCTACTTAGTATGCGGGATCGTGCACGCCCGTGATAAATATGATTTCTATTGATCCATTGCTCGCATGCTGCGCGAACGTATTAATCACGGAGCAATAATTATCGTCATTATTATTTTTATAAATAACGTCTCGGCTGTTGGCGAACAACGCGGAAGATAACGTGAATCGCGCGAGCCGAGCAGGATGACTAGGTGTTATGAATAACGACGCGAACGAGTTACTCATCCGACGTGTGCGTATTGCCAACGTCAAAGAAACCGTCGGGCAAGCAAGGGCAAACGGCAGCGACAAAACCCGTCGCCGACATTGTTGCGATCGACCGACGACGACACGCGAGACGTGAAAGGAAGCACGCCGCCGGCGAAGGATGAGCTTGCCCGCACAGGTCTCTTGGTGGCCGTTTTCGAGACTTTTCGCGTCAACCGTTCCGCTGGAACGTTCCTGGAAAACGTCTTTCTTACTGCGCTCGTCGTCGTCCTCTTCCCGTTCCTGCTCGTTCTTATCCGCCACTCATTGCCTTTGTTTCCGTTGTTTGCACAAGCCTCCGGTCGATATTCGCAGTCGCCACTGCTGAGGACCAACGTGACCTTGAACTTGCCACCGCGATCCAGCTGCGCTTCCACCGCGGGCCGTCACGATCGCACGCGCCGCAATTTTTTGCCAGCAGAATCGCTCGTTCGTCGCCGCCCACCAGACACGCCGCGCGATAATCATTACCGTCGATATAAGTCTATTCTATTAAGTATATATTTACAATTTTAAAATAATTACACGTCTATTGTGCACACCGCGATCACTATGTTTCGTCCATGTTTATTACCAACAACGCGGTGCAACAAGTGTGCACCGTATTTTGTCGATTACACGCGGACGTGTCGGTGAACATTTTACCGGATCCCTAGGTCACAAAAATATTTTTTTAAGCCATCCTCCCCCTTTTTTCGCCGTACGCTACCCGAAAATTGCTCGAGACCGGCGTACACATGTTCGACGCCACTCTTCTGTATTTATTGTTATTTACATTCAAGCTGTATATCGAAAATGACGTTAGCACCCCGTAAATCGTCACTCGCCATCTCGGTATCCGCAGTCACACGTCATACGTTATTACGCGCACGCCATAAAAATCTTTTCTAGACATGTTTTGCTGTTATGACAGAACAATATTATCATGTCACGGTAAAACGGGAAAACAAAACGCGATTGTTTATGTCGCCGCTTCGACGAGACTCGCAGGGAAAGCGGAACAACGCGATGGATGCGTTGACGTATTTAAAACTAAATGTTTAAACCGCATGTAAATCGCTACGTACTATTACATAATGTTTTTGATGTTCGTGTAGAAATACCGACGACAAAAATATATGACGAATATACGTAATTTTCAGTTGTATCGATTATACATAATGGGTAATACGGTTGTTATAGCATGACAATGAGATTATTTACACCAGAGAACTTTATAAGGGGAAAAATACTAGTAATATGTATATATATATTTTTAGTTCATTCGTTATTATTATTTTTTGTTTAGTACAAGTTGTGAGTCAAAAAAATAAATATCAAAGTTGAGTATGTTAATAAATGAATCCGAAAAGCGATGATTACTAAAAGCGTGCGACGATTTTCGACTATATTCGACAGTTATGATATTACTTCTACGAGAGGTATACAAGTTAAATATTATTGTTATGCCGTAGGAAAGTGTTCACGAGTGCTAATCGTGTACGCCTAGTCGAATAGGTATTTTAAAGTTCCTCTAATACGCGACACACAAAATATCGTCACAGTAGCGACGATACAAAGCGTACACGGTATATTGGACGAGCGATGTATGTAGGTGTTTTAATACGGGTATTGGTTTTCGGACAACGGATGAATACGTTTTATGCAAATGCCTGTTTCGCATACTTCGAATAAATATAAAAACCGTCTATTGTACTCCAGCACCGTTCGAGTACGCGTCGCGTGGTGACATTGAAACGCGCGTAACACTCCGCTGCATGCATATTATAATATGCGCACGTTTACATTTTTGACGAGAAAAATCGTGTACCCATAAGCTGTTACGGAGACTTGTTCGTCTGTGTATACCGCGCGCGTTTTCGTATTCAAATTTCCTACCATATCCACGATAAAATTCGTGCTTCTAGCGATTCGACCTTCTAAGCTCATGATTTTTAGCGACTACACACGCGCGCACACGCACGCACACACACACACACACACACACACACACACACTTTAAATCATCTTCGTCTTTTAATAACACTTTTCGTTCTGAACGTATGCGATCCAATCGAAACGCATTAACATAAAAACGTGTAACAGCAATAAACGTAATACGTCCATAACGTTTAATGTCTGTTAAACTATTGCATGTACGTGTTGCGGAAATAATTGACAGCGCTCTGAGACAGTGCTTTCAACGATCTGGTAAATCATAATGCGTGCCCGGCGTCCCGATGAACGCGCGCGTAGAAATATCGTATTATCGGGCGCAAAATATCCGGAAACGCGATGATATCGAACGCGGTCGGAGAGAACAACTCGCACAACTTTCGAGCCGCGCGCGCGTCCGAAAGACCAACGCGACTTCTGCCGTTTCCGACGACTGGTCACGACTCGACGACCGTCGCGCACAAAAGGAACAGCGCCCACTCTGACTCGACGATCTCGCGGTGACCGTTGTGACGAAACGATGTTATGTTTATGGTAGACTGCGATCGGCTTCACGCGGATTGTGGACATTCCTGGCCGCACGGCGGAGGATAGTCTTCAACCCGGACGGTCTTGACCTAAAACCTAGCGCGGTACTTTGTTTTCGAACGGTGCACCGACGGCACTAAAGCAACGACGTGTCCACGTCGTCCAAAAGTGGAGTTCGACAAGAATAAAAAAAGAGAAAGAAAAATATTAAACGAAACGTCGACGAGGAGTTTCAGTTGTCTGTTCGGTTGTTGTTTTATTTTCTTCAATCGCAATCACGCGACGTTCCACTGTCGCGCGGTTGTTGAATCGCCGTGATCATAACGCGCGCGCGCGCGTGCAATGTTGACGACGCGGTTCGATCGCAGCCGTCGAATCGATCGGCCGACCCGACCTAACCTTTCCGACCCGTGCGAAACGCCACGCGATTTATTTTGTAAGCCGTTCGGCGTCGAACCGCGGACACTGTTATCGAATTAGAAGTTCGCATACATTATGAAAACGCGAACGGATCGCGCGCGTGCGTGGGTTGCGAAACTTTCGAATCCGTTTGATTTACACAGCTTTTTTCTTTTTTTTTTTTTATGTCAAGGCTTTCGGAATATCTACCAGCACGCGGTCGGATGGGACGAGTGGGAACTGGCCCGTGCAGTTTTGTACTGATAAAACGCGTAGACCGCTTAAGGACAATATAATACTATGTGTAACATAGTAGCTGGGCGGTGGCGTGGTATCGCGCGCGTTGGTCGGATGTTAGTGTCCGCACGGGTCCGCCGCGAACGATCGCGAGGGAGGGGAGGCCGAGTTTGGATGACCAACCTTGGTCACGAGCGGACCATAAACGATGTAACACAGAGATTACGTGCTCCAAGAAGTCGAATCGACTTGAGCGCGGGCGGAACGTTTTTTATCGTCCTTTATACTGCCCGTGTAATCCATCGCGGGGTGAATTGGCACCACACGTTCTAACACGGTGCGTATCAGTGACACCGAACTCGTGGTTCAAGTCCGGTCGTGACCGGATTAAATTTAAGGGTCGTGGCCGGTGCCGTGGTAGATTGGTATACGACTAATAAATTAATTAATCCGATCAACTAAAAACCATAATGCTCACTATCTGGATGGTATCGAAAATGCTAAAATAGGTTGTATATCCATTTTGAGGGCG